GGTCACTGCTAGGTAGCCACTAATCTAAAATAAATAAAAATAAAACACTTATCTCCTTTATACCTCGTACCCTACGGTACCCTAAAAGAGAACGGTTAAGAACCAGCAATAAGAGAAACGCAGCAATAGATAATAAAATATGTATTTACAGAAAAAAAAAACATCGGTGGTAGTGCCCGGTTTTGGAACGGCTGTAAACGGAAAATTAAATAAAATGAACAATTACAATTGAACGCGATTACAGGAAAGTAATTACGGCTCCCTATATACAAAAAAATAATTAAAAATAAATTATTACAATTGAAAAACGAGTTAAATATTCATGGTTCCCTGCATACGGAAAATTAATTAAAACAAATTATTACAATTGAAAACTAGTTAAATATTCATGGCTCCCTGTATTCGGAAAATTTATTAAAAATTAATTATAACAGTTGAAAACTAAAAAAAAAAAACTATAGGGAAATAATTGCGGTTCGATAGCACAGGAGGCTAATCGGTCCGGAAATTGTGAAACTCCCTGTATACGAAAAATTAGTTTTAAAAATAAATTTATTAAATATGACGGTAATAAAATGTAAGAAAATTAATGAAATCAAAGTTTTCGGAACGCCCTTGTATCTTAGTTCTGACCGGTCGACGCTGGCAATTTAGTCGAACGAGAATGATATGATTTACGGTGATGTTTGGACAACGAAGGCGATGGTTATAGAAAAGATTATTTTGAGATTTGCCAAAGCCGATCAAAACGGTGTGTGAATTAATTATGATAGAAAACGTCGGGCTTTGTTTAATAATTAGTTGTTGACGGGAAACGGAATGATTCACATATAATTGAATGAATAAATAAAAGAAAAAGAAACTTACATGAAAAATACTGGGCGCTTCTTAAAAGAGATTGGATATAGTCGTCGAAATTGAGAGCACTCACAGTCTACCCTATATCCAGCCTCAAATAAAAATTGCTAACGGTTTCCCACTAAGGGATGAAATGAAAAATGCTGGACATGAATCAAAATTCTTTTACTTGTCGGACGGGTGTCTCAAACTAATTGTAAATAAAAAATAATATGCAGTTTCCTACCTTAGAAAAATAATAGGGGTTGTTTAGTAGTCTAACAATATCACGGTCACTCACTGAGTTCGTCACTCGTCGGTAACAGAAGAGAGAAGAGCTTACGACGGCCAGCAATCAAAGAGGGCAATTATCAGTTGTAATCAAATTTATGCTTTTTTCCTGGGCAAACTTGAAGACCGGTAAGCCAGAGTGGGAGATACCACCACTACAGATAAATACAAGTAGATAATTGATACGAAATTAAATCTACAAATGCTTATTCGGATTTTGGCAAATATAGAAATATTTTAACTTACGAGGGTACTCGCAATTGTTGAAAAACGGTAATTCCTGGGAAATAGAAATCTTCTACATGTCCTCAGGCGGGAATTAATTGAAATACACATTTTTAAAATTAATTAAAAATAAAATTTAGTGACTTCGTCACACTTATATTAAAAAAATTGTACAATAGGAGAGGTTTCAGCCAGTATACCATTATTTTATGGGCTTATACTAACGTACTATCAGCCATTCTTTCCTAAAATCTTTTGGTATGCTACAACAAAACATACAAATTATTTGATTTTGTAAATACATAGATATTTGTGAAAATTTACACATGAAATGTTATTCCTTCCTTGTATCTTCTACCGTAAGATGCATTGTTACATCCAGGTACTAAATAACAAGACATTTTGGAAATTTTGTAAAAATGTAACACCAAACTATAAATGTTTTTAGTTAACATAAAAAATAATGTTTTAATTAAAACATTTACTAGAAGAAAAAATATTTTCACGATACGGTATCTAGACTTTCTGAGAGCTATGGACTATTCTGACAGTGACATGTTTTATAATCCTTTTTCCAAGCTCTCTTGGCTGGATTAGAAAAATGGCCAGTTATATTATTTTTTCTCTTCAAAAAGTGTACTTTACGAAGGATCTGGGGCTTTTTATTTGCTCCTCAGGGGTGTCACGACAAAAGGACGCGGAAAAAAGGACGCGGAAAAAAGGACGCGGGAAAAAAGAACGCGGGGAAAAAAGGACGCGGGACAAAAGGACGCAGAGCAAAAGAAATCCCTACAATTTTGAAGCCATGCACTCAAAGAAAATCTGTACTTTTGCAAATGTTATAAGCATTTTTATATATTCCTTCTACAAAAAAAAATGTCATTTTTATAAATTAGAAATATTTTCTTTAGACCCCATGTTTAAGGTTTTCCTGAATTATTTAATGTGGCAGGAGTAGAAAGGATTACTTTTTAAAAATATTTTAAAAATCTATAAGCTATAGTTAAAGAAAGAAAGCACTCGTTAGTAATCATTTATACCCGACAGCATTATTTATGGCAAAATATGGTAATTTGTAATTAAAAGGTAACATTTAACGGCAAACAGAAATTGGGAAATTATAAATTTAAAGTGAAAAGAAACTCAATTAAAGGGCTTTTACGACAATGAGGGTTTCTAATACCTAGTATTAGGAAGCAAATTTTAGAAAGGGATTACAATTACACAGGTAATAATTAAAATATGAAAATAACCACAAACTGATAAAAAATTCGGGAGGTAATGATTAGAATGTATAGTGGGGAAACTTTTCTTGGTATATATTTAGACTGTTGTTGAAGAAAAAATATGCATTTCACAAATAGATTTCAGTTTGCTAAGATGGCATTAGTATTTGTGAAAAGTCAAAAAGGTATCATGTTACTTTATAATGGATTTCTTCACAAAAAGGAGCGAGTAATTAACGAAAAGACTATTTGGAAGTGTGCTACTTATAATAAGTGTAAATATACAGAAAAAGTACATGTCGTTGGGGATAAAATTATAAAGTATACAGAACACAATCACGTGCGGACACGGTAAAGTGTGAAGCAAAAGAAGCTTGTAATCGGATGAAGGAAGTTGCACAACAACTTAAACTCTCCACCCAAGGTGTAGTAGCTAAAATATCTCGAGGACTTTCCTTAGCTACTACGGCACAACTTCCTTCAGTGTCGTCTTTAAAAAAAATGTGCAAAGAGTTCGAAATGAGCTAGGAGATACGCCAGCAAATCCAAGAAATTTAATAGAACTTGTGCTTCCTGAACTACTGACGGTGAGCTGTTCCTATTATTTGATAGTGGTCCAGAAGAACAGCGTATTTTGTTATTTTCAACCCAAAGAAATTTAAGTTTTATGGAACAATGCGATCATTGGTATGCCGATGGAACATTTAAATCAGCTCCACCATTGTTTTCTCAAATATACACAATTCATGGAGTGTGGTATAGTAATGTAATTCCGACCGTGTTTGCACTCATCCCGAACAAAACTTAAGAGACCTATACACTTGTTTTTTAACAATTAAAGCTGTTAACTCCGGGCCTGTGACCTCTAACAATAATGATGGACTTTGAAAGAGCCGCAATGAACGCTGCACAAACGGAGTTCCCAAATGTCAGAATCCGCGGATGTTTTTTTCATTTCTCGCAGTGTATGTGGCGCCATATTCAAAGTGCAGGATTACAACGCAGATATATTGAGAATTCTGACTTCGCTCTTCACCTAAGACAATTGACAGCTCTTGCATTTGTTCCAGAGAACCATGTAGGCGAAGTGTACGAGGAGTTACTCGATAGCGATTTTTATACACAAGATGAAGAACTGTTAGTGCCACTGATAAATTATTTTGAAGACACTTGGATAGGAAGATTAGATAGAAGAAGACATCGAAGACAACCCCTTTTTCCTGCAAATGTATGGAATTGTTACGATCTGGCAGACCAAGATATACCTCGAACTAATACTGCAGTCGAAGGATGGCACAACAGCTTTTCTTCTCTTCTAAACGCTGCACATCCCAATATTTGGAAATTCATTGATTCCCTTAAAAAAGAATATAACTTAAATGTGTTGAAAATAGAGCAGTACATTGCGGGGAATTTACCTCCACGTAAAAGAAAATATCAAGATTCAGCAAACAGGATAACAGCTATTGTTGTCGATTTTCCTAACAGGCCAAATTTAGAATATTTGAAAGGCATTGCTTACAATTTTCAGTTCCAAACTTAATATTTCTAGGATAAAATAATCACAAAAACAAAACAAAAATACAAAAAAAAATTAAACAAAAAATTACAAAAAAATTTAAACAAAAAATTTAAACAAAAAATTACAAAAAAAAAATTACATAAAAAATTAAAAAAAAAATCTTGTTCATCGTATTTTATCACAGGCCAAATTTAGAATATTTTACATGCACACAATTTTCAGTTGCAAACTTTTTTTAACAACCCAAATGTCCAACTACAAAGATATTCAAATAATGGCATTTAAATAAAAAACTTACAGGCGTATTACAAAACTCCTCAATTTAATAAATACAATTGTTTTGCAAAACCAAGTGTGCATTGTCATTAAACTTAATTGTTAATGTCAATTAAAATTAACTATTTATAGTAATTCAATAAAATTATGCGTCCTTTTTTCCCCACGTCCTTTTGACCCGCGTCCTTTTTCCTCGCGTCCTTTTTTCCCGCGTCCTTTTTTCCGCGTCCTTTTGTCTTGCATCCTTTTGTCGTATATCCCTCTTCAGGGTTTAATTTATGTACTTTGATATTGTTTTAAGATTCACCTTCGAAATCCTGTAGAAATATTATTTTAATTCAATAGAATCGAGAACACTACTTATTTATTCTTATTTGCTGGCCTTTATCGTATACTGTTTTAGTACATACAAAATGTTTAAACCATTTAATCAATTTTGCAGAGCTTTATATTCTAGTATCCAGTCATTTTTTGTCTTCAAATTTTTTTACGAATACCTACGACAAAACTAAGATATCCAATTCACCGAGTTACATAACTGATAAGATAACATAGTTAATAATAATAAAAGTATCGCAAACACTTTTGCATGAACGTATCCCCCATTTTCCCCACTTTGTGTACTTAATTATAATGTTGATAAAATTTATCTCTTGTCAAAGTAAGTAAACCGTAATCGTTAAATTTCATTATCACTAAATGTGTAGCGCCCTTGCCAATAAGAATACTTTTAGTTTTTGTATTACTAGGTGAAAATACCAGGAAAAAATTCACTGGTAAGTTTATTGGTTTAATAACATATAAATTCTAATATAAATAGTATAATTTATGTATTTATATTTTGGATACATACATGGAAGCCAAATAATTATACATAATTTTTTAGGTATGTTGATCTACCTCTGTCCAGCTGATAAAAGATATGCCTGCTCCTGGGAAGGACAATCAGAAGATATCCTTCGCCATTTCGAGGAAGAACACGATGAACTTCTGCACTTCAATGACACGTTCAACATAGATCTATCTATACTGTCAGAAAACAGACTATTTCTAATAGATGAAGAAATTTACCTAGCACAGATAACAATTTATGAAAACAATTTGGAGATAAAATTGCGGTATCTGGGTCCACATAAAATAGCTGCAAAAATCACTTATAACATCTTACTGAAGGTCAACTATGTATTATGCAATCCCAGCTACATATTAGTGACCAAATCTGGAAGCATTTCAGTAAATTTAAACAAAATAGCTGAAAAAATTATCGATATAACATGTACATTAAATATCAACAAAGATCTACCTGAAGAAATTTACGAAGAAGATGTTTTTACACCAGAAGATTATGCAGAAACTGCTAATAGAGTTAGAAAAGTTATCAATACTAAAAAATCTTCAACTCGCATGTCCCTATCAAATCGCAAACACAGCTTAGAAGAAACCTCTTATGCAACTGTTACAAAAACTACAGAAGTATCTTTAACCAGATCCAAGACAACAAGCTTAGAAGAAATTAAACGAAGACATCTAAAAAGAGCGCAAAGTACATTAAGTTTAGGAGCTATAACAGAAGATATAAATGATTACAACTGCACTGAATGTGGTGTAAATTTAACCACACCAATATTTGTATGCCTTTCAGGCCATAATTTCTGTCCTAACTGTCAAAACCTTTTATGCAAAATATGTTCAAAAGAAGTCACCTCTGAAAGAAACCCAGTGTTAGAAAAAAAGTTCCAAAATTACTTAGAACCTTGTAGATATAAAAATAATGGCTGTCCAGAGAAATTGGTTTACAACGAACTCACAGATCATATCAAATCCTGCACATTTTGCGACTACCAATGTCCAATAGAAGGCTGTAACTTCAAAGGTCAGTACAAACACGTATATAGTCATCTTAAAACCATACATGGTGCTACTAAGATGTTGGAATCTTTCATAGTGGTCTTTCAAAACATCCCTGAAGCGTTCCTGGTGAACGAAGAGAAAGGTATTTTTCATTGCCGAGTACAATATTTCGAAGATTTTGTAAGATGGGAAGCCAAATTCTGTGGTCCTAAAGAGAAGAGATTTTTCTGCGAATTGAAGTTTAAAGAAGGTAAACTGAAGCAACCTGTGTTATTGAATAAGAAGGAAAACGTTTATAGTATCGAGATGAGTTTGCAAGAGATGAAAAGAATGAAGATCAAACCTAAAAATGCGGTTTTAACGATTACTTGTTAAGTATTTGTATTTGTTGAATTTATAACGACAGCTAGTGTATTTTTAAATATCAGTGTTTTTGAAAACATTAGCAAACAATACAATAAAAACATTTTTAATTTAAATAAAGGTGCAATTCTAAAAATAATAAGAAAATAACTTTTATAAAGGTTAGAGTGAGTATACCGTTCAATTTTACATCTGAGATATTTAGCTATAGAAGAATTCAGTGTTCTAATGAAAGGGTTCTATAATATACCAAGAAGATAAATTTTTTATAGAAAAAAAACTTTTTTTATTTATTTGTAATAATTATCAATCAATTTATTGGTGTTCTCCATATTTTCCTAAACAAAATTTTAACTGACTACTGAAAAAAGGGCAAATCAATAACTGAATGATAAATACCTACCTAAAGTTTTATCAGAACAATGTGCCTTGACATCATTTGCAATTTGATATGATCAAAATGGGTTCTTAGTTTAATTTCGAGTCACGCAAATTTTATGATTGCTTATTTTATCTAAAAATTGGATTGTGTTATCTTTAATTGCCAGCTTAATTTTTTATAGATCCAATGTCATTATCAATGATCCATCGGTATCTAAATGAAAAATGAAGATAAAAATCTGTTTTATTTAGAATAGTTTCTAATTATAGAATATACATGGTGTGTGAAATACTTAAAAAAAAAATATGATAACGATATTTTATTTAATATACATAAGAAAATTCGTATGCCTCATGATTATATTGGCTGAAAGTAAAACTAATTTTAGTGCCAATGACGTAGTCTAGAGAATTGACAATTAGGTTATTATTAAAATTGCTTCAAAATGCCATTTTTATATAATATACTTTGTCCGTTATTTAACAATTTGCTAATACTCATGCGCAAGTTCTGGCCTTTCAAATGAAGTAATTTTCTAAATAACCTATTTTTCTATTTCTCTCTCAACCTTTCTATCTGTAGGACAAAATAATATTTGAGGCAAATATGGCCCACCTTAATGTTTTTTTTTTTCATGAAACCTGAATGTTGAAAAAAACATTTTTTTCACAACGTAATAGGTAAGTATGTGACCGACATATATACAGTGAGCATCATAAGTCTTACCCCCCCTATCTAACTCGTTACTGGAGTCTTGTTAGGAAAATCACCAAGACACGTCGATTTTTGATTTCTACAATGTACATTTTTGTATAAATAGTTTACCCTTAATTTCATCCCTTACTGGAGGGGAGCAATCCTTTCGAAAAATTTATATGGCATGGGGTGGTGAGTGATAGCTCATTTGAAAGGGGGTTTTATTCTCTATTCAAACGTGCAAAAAATTTTTGAAATTTGCTTTATTAATTCTCGACTAATTATTGTTTCAGAATAACGGAAATTAACGTAGCGCACTCATCCTTAAAATTAAAATTCGGCCTTGCATGTTATCGGTTTTGGTTCAGACTTGTATTTGCCATATTTTGTTATTTTTAAACATTAATAAATCAACACGTAATGAAGCAAATTTTAAATTTTTTTGCACGGTTGAATAGAGAATAAAACCCCCTTTCAAATGAGCTATTACTCACTACCCCATGCCATTTAAATTTTTCGAAAGGGTTGCTCCCCTCCAGCAAGGGATTAAATTAAGGGTAAACTATTCATACAAAAATGTACATTGTGGAAATCAAAAATCGACGTGTCTCGGCGATTTTCCTAACAAGACTCCAGTAACGAGTTAGTTAGGGGAGGTAAGACTTATGCACTGTATATAATTTAGCTTGGTCATAAATGATTCGTAATAGATGTTATATTATAAAAATTGTTTGCCCGGCACTTGGGCCATATTACCAATCTGGTCGGATTGTATGGCCCAGAGTAAAAATAGCTTTAAACTAATGAAGATTGATCTGGTTTATTTTTTAGGTTATTTTCACAAAATTAAAAACAAAAAATATTAAACTTGTCAGAAACATAAACAAAGATAACAAATATTAAACTATTTATTGAACACACTAAAAAATATCAAATTTAAACAACAATTAATTACAAAAATTAAAAAAATAAACCAAATTAATATTTTTATGCTCAAAAAACTTAAAATATAAAATTATGAAAATAAAAAGTCAGCAGCACTTAAAATCTTCGTCAGACTCGAGGCCAACACATGCCTCATGGCACCAAGTATGACATTTTGCATACATTCGCATATCAAGTTGGTTCTCTTTTTCATAGGCTGCACATAACCATGACTCCTGTTTAGTTTTTTATATGCCGACTGTGGGATAGTGCTTTTATGTTTGGATGTTGATGGAACTGAAAGTTTCGCAGCTGAAAATTCCATAGCTGATGGGCGATATTTCTCAGAGAAAAGGTCTTTTGTAACTTTCTGAGCTTTGTAATTCAAAGTTTTTCACCTAATTACAAATTTGTCATCCAGAAACCTAGATCAAGGCAATATAAATTTAAAGCAATTTTAATCTTGAATAGCGTAAAATGGCTTAATCAAATATTAAGGTACAGTATATTTGAAATCGCCATAGTAAAAAATATACAGGGTTCCCATTTTAATTCACAAAGTTGATACTTGTTAGTTACCTTTCTGGTTACCGTTTGTTTATCTTAATACTAATTTCTAGTAAAGCCTTATAACTTATGTATTTAACAATTTATTTTATCTCTTTCAATAAACGTGTTAAGAGCCGTTCTAAAAATAACTAAACACCCTGTACAAATATAGTGCACATTCAAGAAGATTATAGGAAAAATTTGTATACTATATCTTCTCAGGGAAATTGCGCCCTGATGATATTGCAACACTGTATTAGTTGTATTATTTCATATAACCTCAAAATTTACAGTAGATGTCGCCGGTTAAATCTGTTTATGTCACAGATCACTTAAATTTATGTATTTAATGTTTTATATTGTGTTTGTGTACAAACCTTGGATTTAGATATTAAGAAAACAAATACATTTTTTCTGTTATGACAACAGCTGCGTGTTCACTACAGAGTAATAAAGTTTAAGAGTTTTGGTACCATTCATTTGTTGTTTAAGTTGTCTATAAAAAGTTGTCGAATGTCGAATAGTAATCTTTTTGTGAGGCTTCTTGTTGCTTCCTATTTTATATACAAATGCACCCTAGATAATTCCAAAAACAAAGTAATTTGCGCAGAGATCGACGACACTTTGGTAGTTTTTCTTTATTGTAAAGGCGAACAATGTAGAAAGCTAGCCACTAATAGGCAACGGTTACTTCATTGTGAATTTTGAAGGTTAACTTTGAAGTGGCTTTTTTTCAACGCAATATGTGGAAATCACTTAAGAGCGTGGCAAAAACGTGGCAAAAACGTGGCAAAAACTACTGCAGTTATACAATCAAGTGCCGCTACTTTAAAGATATATTTATGGTTTCCGAAACGTTACTAAAACTATCAAACCCACTTTAAGATTACTGCCACTTCTGGGTGGTATTTAAGTGATATGATTTGGTGGCCGTTACTATTTTCCACATTCAAGTTTGTGCAACTTAAGTGGTCCCGCTTAGTGGCTATAACGTTTCAAACACATTCAGAGGCAACTAAATAATATAAAACTTTAAAGTGATTCCCAGTGGTGAAATACACGTGGCTACAACTGGGAATATATAAAATGAAGTTATTCTCACTATATAGAGCTACATTTAGTAATTATAACGTAATAGTCACCTAATCGAAGTGGCGATATAAGTTTCTGTCACTATAATGCTACTTGGGGTGGCTTGGTTTTGCTGCAAAAGGCGGACAAAATTGTTTTGTCCAGCTCTCCCATCAATGTCTTTTTGACAAAGATTTCTCTTTCGGTACCCAGGCAGCAGACTGACGTCATTATGACATCTTATTTTCGTCATACAGGACGTCATTTATCCTCTGAAAATTAACGTGATGATGACGGTAAAATGAGGTGAATATGTCACAGCCCAAATGACGTCATATTTAGACGTTCTTTTCACGTCTAAATATGACGTGTTTATGACGTTGTTTGTAACCTTTGTCGTTATTCTTTATACTTATTTGAGACGTCACCATGACGTTACATTTGATATTGTTACTCCTTTGTAACTTTTCTATAGGAACTGTGGGTCCTTAGGACCGATTTCACCGTTGTGTTAAATGAAGTTTAAAATGACATTTTATATTAACAATGTCATTTTAATCTCCGTTTAACACAACGGTGGAATCGGCCCTTAATAAAACAAAATTTGAAAATGAAATAATTATAATTAAAATGAGGCTAATGGCCATAGTAGTCGACGCCGATGACACCAAATTAAAAAAAAATTATAATTAAAAAGAAAAAAGTATAAATACATGAAATGTTATTGGCAAAAAACATTAATTTAATAAATCCAACTGCTCCAAATGTGGCCAACTTGTTCGTTATTATTTTGGTTTGGCACAATGATTTTTTTGAGTGCCGCCATTTTATACTATTTCACGAACCTGGGAACATTTTAGGAAACATCCTATGAATGTAAAAGATGTAAAATCATTAAAGAATAAGGATAATATAGATATAAAAATACCTTATGCTGGGTTGATACTGATATAACTTTTTTCACTGACCCTCTTAACTTTTAACAACAATCCTGAATGCATTCGGGCCACGATCCATTACACGGGCCATTACACATGGCAGATGCAACACATGGAGGAAGGATTATTAATGCAACAATCTGCGATACCGTTCTCGTGCTTGCTCGAACGGCTCGAACACACACGAGCCATACTCCACAGAGCGATAACCATAGATAGACGCAGTTATGTGTCACGTGGTGTAATCAGTCTTTATGCATTTAAGCGCCAGATTTAAACGTTAATAGATCTAACAGTTTTAAAAAATAATTGTTCAGGCCATATTATTTTACATAAATAAAATGTATTGAAATCACGTTTAATAGAAACCTTAATTTAATAGTGACAATAAATTGACGTCCCACTGACGTCGAATTTGTGACGTCAAAAAGACGTTAAAGAAGTGACGTCATAATTACCTCATTTTTTGGTAACATTACGTCGATGACCTAGAATTACCAAAAAATGTCGTCAAAATGTCGTCAGTCTGCTGCCTGGGTAGTTATCTTACCGTAAGAGTTTCAGGTGGCTCAAAGCTGCATCCTTATAGCTTATCCTAGACAGAACTTTGTGGTCCTGTCTGGGTTTTTCCCCTTCCGGGGCGTTACTTCGAGAGAGGTGTGAGATCGCGGCCTTTTCTTGTCCATTTTCTTGACCGATA